GAATGCGAAACTAAGAGAATTTATTTGACATTTTATTTAGTTGGAAAGAATCGCTGCAACCTGCTACCTTTTGAACTTTTTAAACGAGACAATTAGTAAGTACTTACCACATATATTTCCTGCGAGGGCCGCTTTACTGACATCCTACTTTTATAGGCAACGATGTTTATACTGCCACCTCTTCTTCTTTCCACTCCTCACTCCTGATCTACGGTTCATACTTATATACGAATCCGAAAACATCCAACAGCACTCCAGCCTTGCGTCTTGAACTGACACCCAACTTGAACGAGCAGCTGTATTAACATACACTGCCTGGGAGAGCTTCCATTTCCGATCTGCTGCAATTTAGTTTTATGAGAGCAACCGAGCTCCATTCTTCACTGGCTGCCTTGCAGCTTCTACTGAACGCCATCTTCAACAGGCGGCTGTATTTATACTGCTAGCTCTTCTTCTTTCAATCGTTACGATTTAATACAAATTCCGCTCAGATCTCTTCTCTCGTCTGCTGCTTCAGCTAGGCTCTCTTAATCACGCGCTTGCTGGTTCGCTTGCTCGCTCGCACACCCACATATACACACACACATACACACTCACACACACACACACACACACAAACACGCGAACGCACGCACACACACACAGACGCACGCACACACACACACACATTTATATTTTAATACTGAGTATAGGGTATCAGAAGAGCGTGCAAATAAACAATAAAATTACATCTGTGTATTTTTTTTTCGAAAAAATCGTCGCCAGCAAATGGATTCTACGCAAAATAATGTTAAAGTCAATGTGGTAAGTGGCGCTGACTTGAGCTTAAGGTAGAAGGCCACATGTTGATGTGCGGACACGTATCCTTGCTTGGTTACGGCTGTGGCGGTGTCTGTAATTGTGCTAACAAGACTCTGGTAATTATAATTTAATTAAAGCGTTACCAGCTACTCTCATGGTCTCTATGAGGAGCTTTGCGCTCGTGTTTGCCATTAGAATTTTCCATGTGCAGGCAATTAAAGCGAATGAAGGCAGCTGGCAGCAAGCAGAAGCAGCAAACACCCAGGAAGAGCCTGCCGGAGTAGCAGAATATAAAAATTGATTTATGGCCCACAAGTCAACTCCCCAGCGCATACAAAATGTGTGTACGTGTGTGTGTGTGTGAGTATGGGAAAAATGCTGAAGCAAAATTCTTCAATTGCAAGTCAAACACTTGGCTGCAAAGTTTGTGCAAAACTTTTGTATGTTGAGCAGTTGAAATGTGATTAGAATTTGTGGAGAACGTTGGCCGAGGCAGGTGAGTTCGCTAATTGCGTTGAATAAGTAACAGGAATAAAAACAACAACAACAAAAGGAGCATCAGAAACAGCAACAAACTCTAGCTTTGCACAGATAGAGAACATCCTCCGGGCCAGGCCTTGGCCCGCTTAGAGTTTACAGCTTACGGCTTTTAGGTGCACATAATGTAAGTGTGTTGCACAGGTAACGGCTCTGGCTGCAGGTGTGTGCTCATTTGTGTATTAATAAACAAATTACGCAATTAATAACACACACTGAGTGCTCAGATGTGCGCGAATGGTGACATACTGCAGCCAGAATGAAAGTGCGACTCCTGCACTCCTGCCAGGCAGCATCCTGCTGCAATGTCTAGTTGAAAGGAAGCAGCAACAACACCTGCCGCATTAAGCAGGTGTGGTCTACACGTTTAATTATATGTGCTACGGTAATCGTGCAACATGTGCAACCAAATGTGGCCATCGCCGCTAAACGGCCCCAAAGCGTAGCTAGCAAACTCGGGCTGCTTTGGTGCTCTTGACATCAAGTGCGTGGCTGCACTTCTTTCGGGCTGTTGGTCCACTGATGAGGCTGTTGCCTTGTTGGCGTTTTATGCGCTCTACCAATGCTCGAATGGGAATTGAGGCGATGCTATATGAAAATGTGCCAACGAGGCAGTTTTCCTTTGCTGGATTTTCTTTTCGCTGCTGTTGCTGTGCGCTCGCATGGAAAATCAAGCGAAATGTATCTGGCAGGCAGCCAGAAAACCAGGATAACTGAGCGAAACGAAAGCGTAAACCAGAAACGACAAACGAATATTTATTACAGGTGTTTGCCTTTGAGTGACAGCAGTGCCAGCAAAACAGTCGCATAAGGGGCGGCTTCCGTGAAATACAGAATAACAATAACAAGCAGGAGACACGACCTCAAGCCGCTCAAGCAACGATACAAATCCAAGCATCAAGATACGCAATCAAAGGCGCAATAATAGCAGAAGAAAAGAAATAAGCCAGAAGCCAAAAGCAAAGGCAATGTGAGGCGAACTTAAAGTGTATTTCTTCTGTTCCAATAAAAGGTTTTCTTTTTTTAAACATCATAGAGCTTTAATGCAATACGTAATTACGAAATACCTGAGCATGGATAAGGTTTCGGCACATTTTGCATGTTGCAACGATTCAAAGTTCTGAGAGCCGCTTCGAAAATTATGTTTAAAATGTTTTGATGGTATTTTGAGTGCAATGTAAATAATTTTAAAAAACCTTAAAGTTGTTTGAGAAGCTTGATAAAAGTTTGAATTTAATTAATTTTATTTTTCATGCCAAGTTAAGCAGCATTACAAGTAGGTCAGCAGATTTTTAATTCAAATTTATTTGTACTTTTCTGGACCTTTTCTGCAAATAAATAAATAGTACATTTTAAAGCAGCTTCTCAGATCGGTTTCTTGTCCAATATGATTAAGTCGATTGAGTCTGAGCCCTTAATTGTAAAGTACCAAATCAATAAAAAAAAGGTAAAGAGTAAAAAAAAAAATGAAATCTGAAGATCCGAATACCTCTTGTGTGTTTAGGTGTGCGCCATTTATGGTATTTGGTGATGCAAAGTATGAAAATTGTGTAATCAGCTTTGTGCAAATTGAACACCCAAAATCGTCAGATAAGTTGATTATAAGAATTTGCGTGCAATTTCCAAGAATTGGGACAACAATAAAGTAACAATAACATTGTGAAGCTAAGGGGAAATGCGAAAACTTTCCACAGCTCGAGCAGAAAGCTCGTGCAACAAAGTTTTGTGTAAATATTTTTGCAGTGCTTTAAATTCTTTTGTATGGCTGAAAGGCGACCCAAGCAGCTGCCTGACAATATGCACTCAGATCAAGGCGTTGAATTCTTATACAGGCCAAGTCACTTTACGTTTAAGCACCATAATATGTTCCAGATTGCATGCTGAGCACCGTGTCCTGCTCCTGCTCCTGCCTCTGCCCCTGGCCCTGGCCCTGGCCCACGCTCTCCCACCCTCACTAAGCCAAAGAGACAGTCAGCAGTTTTTGCTGGTGACTTACTGACTGTCAGGTGCAACGTCCAAGTGGATTTTCTGGCTGTTTATGCAAATTAACAAGGAGCTCGCAGCGTGGAGCTGCCTGCAGTTTCCTTTTTGGCCATTCAACAAAAGTTTCTCTTTTCGCTTGGCAGCTGATTGTCAGATTTATTGCTGGCATAGGGATTGCCAGCTTGAGATACGAAGAGAATGGGGTAAATAAAAGCGGTTCGTCTTTCATTTTGATTACATTCGCCTTAGTAAGAGGTTGTTGATGGAAGGGGCGTGGTTCTTGGAAAAGAGGCAAAACAGTCAGCCCAAATAAAGGTTGCATTTGTTTTTGTTGAGCGATGGGCGACCCGTGCTTATGTGTTCATGTGCCCATCATATGTAATTAATTTGGCAACAGCTGTTTATCCTAATTAGCGATGAATTCTTGTTGTTTCCACTTATGAGGGTGCCAGTGCGTGTATGTGTGTGTTTGTGTATCTGCGAACGAGCGTATCTGGGGGCGGATATTGTGTATTATTCGCACCACTGGCTACCAATTTGATGTTCCAAGTATACAAATGTCAACGATTGCTAAAACAAATTGTTGGCAGCTGGAACCAGTACCCAAAAAAAAGAACGTATAAGAGATATATAGATCATAGATATATAGACCATAGATCCTAGAAAACCAACATACGGTTAAGAAAAAACACTCCCAATATGCTTTTAAGGTATCTTTCACTGTGTATCTGGTGAAGTAGTTAATGTAAAATTTTCGCTTGCAGCTGAAATTTAAATTTAAAAGTTTAATTCTCTATCTCAATGAAGACCTAAAAGTGCGCTTTCGCATCAAGTGCGCAACTTTCTGTATCGCTCCTTCCAAGCAAAAAGGGTCTCTTTTTTCATATCATCCCTATAACTCTTTTAGGTAGCCTATTGGCCATTCTGGCCAACTGGTTATAAGCCCTTGTTATAGAGTGCAATCAAATCAGCTGCTAAAATCCAATCGAAGCATTCACCGCCAAAAGGAAAAGTGGTTAGCAAAAAAAAGGAGCCGAAATCAAAAAAGAAAATTTGCTAAATTGACAATGTCAACTTGCTCATCAGGCTAAATTGTAAATAAAGCAAAAAGGGAGCGTGAAAACGGAAAACCCAGCCCAATTTGATGTAAAACTCGCACTTTAGTAAGCGGTGCGAGCCCCTTTTACCCTTATTGTCCTATTCTGCTGGTCAAAACCAAATTATTTGATGCTCTCCATTTATTATGCGTCCTTTCGATTCGCCCTTCTGCCGCCCCAAGGCGGCGTCAAATGGCTAACAAGTAGCCGTGTTTCAAACAAAATTTTTAAGACATAATTCCGTCCATATATCCGATATAAAAACAACAACAAAAAGTGAGCCTAATTAGTCCCGTTATTGATATACCACTTGGCCAAAAGTAATTTTATCTTCGCCAAATTTGTCGCATGCGATTTCTATCCGTAGCCGAACACAGCAGTCGCCGGCAACAACAGCAGCAACAACAGCAGCAACAACAGCAGCGGCTGTTGCTGTTCTGTCTTATTGGAAAACTCGCTGTGGTGTGCTGTGCGCGTTCCAATTCCAGAACGTTCCGCATGGCGCTGTGGCGCCAACTAGAATCGAATTGGCAATCAGTTTGTGTTGAAAATGCAGCCGCGTTGGTTGTGCAACGCATAAAAACGTTCACGTTGACGCCAATTTTAAGCCGTGCATAACGGTACAATATAATACGTACTCTGTGTGCGTCTGTGTGTGTGTGCGTATGTGTGTGTGTAGGCGCCGAAGCAAAGAGCGCTCGGTGTCGTGCAACGAAGCCGTGATCGCAGCCGCGTTTCCGTTTTACGCATTCAGTTGCCGTCGAGTCCTCGTATTGAACAAAAGTGCAAGGATTCCGCTGTCGAGTGATGTTCAAGTGAATTAATTAAATATTGTGCTGAATAATATGAATCACTGATGGTATATAAAAGTGAACACTTCTCGGGCAATGACACACGCTGAACAACTGCAGCGGCTACGTGCTTCACACTGCAAATTATATTTTGGGCAACAATTTCAAATAATATTCATAATTAAAGCAGTATATCAAGAATCGAGCGTGTCTGTAGAAGTGAGTGCACTTATATACTCAGAGCTCAATTGTTATGCATTCACAGTTGTTGTATCAAGTGAAATATGTCTTTTATGTGATTTTATTGTGTTTCGCAAGTTGTAATTTTTGTTGTCCATGTTATGTGTGTTGCCGTGTGCTCGCGTGTGTGTGTGTGCCACAATTATTTCTTTTGTTGTCGGCAATTAGCATCGTTAGGAAATAATTTCATTGTTTTTAATGTTCCCCCATTTGCATAATGACTGTTAAATAGAAAGACAAAGCAAATTTAATTTTACAAATACGACAATTCGATTTAAAGCCAGTTGTTACCGCTGCATATTATCTATTTTCCGTTAATTAGATTTGTTTGATATCAATATGGAATGCTGTCAATACTTTAATCATGATGTCAGCTAATCGTTCAAGCACTTTACAATTATTATTTGGCAAATATTTCAATGAATGCGCCATGACAGCTAATAAATATTTAGCCATAAATTGTGTGCTTGCAATTAACAAATTAATTTTATTTCAGCTGGCACAAGCAAACAATTCATGCTATAGATAAACCAATCATGAAATATGTTAAAGCAAACATAAATAATGCGTGACAACAATTTAATAGCAACAACAACAATTGGAGCGTAAGAGACAACAAATATAATATACAAACTCTAAACAAACTGTCAAGCCGGTTGCCGCCTCTAAAGTGCATCAACTGCAGCAGCAGCAGCAACAACTAAAAACAACTAAAAACTTGACCGAATTTGCAATCAATTTGGCGTCTCTAATCTCGACCAGAGTCGCCGTCGCCTTCACGATCGCAATGATTTATTCAGGTGAGTCTCGAGCCGAGCTAAACGCACTTTTTTTTTTGTTTTTTTGTTTGTCGTTGTATTTTTTGTCGAGCTGTTTGCCCGCGGCGTTTAGCTATGCAAATTGATATTTGCAATAGGCGTCTCTTGTTTTTGGGCCTGGTATCGTTTCAGGGCTGAACTCTCAAGTGCAACGATTTTGAATGATTTTTATTGCGCTTGGCACCAGCCGTAAATCCGCAACTTCAGCTAATTACAATTCGCTGTTGCTTGAGCTGTAGCTATGGAAATGATGCCTTTTTCGGTTTTCTTTCACGCTTTTTTGTTATTCTATATATATATATATTCGTTGTTTGAGACAACTTACGGCGTAATTAGCAACAAGGCGGAAGGGCATATTACAAAATGCAATTAAAGAAACACGCGTGTTGTTGTTTGTGCGACATTTTGCGGCTTTTTAAATATGGCACGTGCTTAACTAGAAACTGATTTTATTATAGTAATTCCAATAGCCTAATTGAGTGTTCGTCTAGCCGAATTATCAAAAGAAATCTCGAAATAAACACAACGAAAGCGGGTTACCTGAGCAACAAAGTTTCAACAGGCTTTGGAGGAATTATCACCTGCGAACGCGTATCGTATTGAATGACCAAAGAGACTGAGCTGAGCAAAACAGCGGCTACTTTCAGCCTAATTAAGTGCATGATTTCTTTATTTCACAAACATTGAGCAAACAACTTTTAAAGATGCAAAATATCAAGTCACATGGTTAACTGCGATTCAGCTTATTTTGCGCTCAAGGCTAAATTGATAATATTTCCACCCCTTTCAGGGCTGCATATTTACCATTGTCCGCAATTGCTTAAGTGTCAATTTCACTTAGGCAATTAAAATTGACAGTCGAAAAGGGTCCACAAACGCAAATATGACTTGGCATAGGTCAGAAAAGCACAATACTAAAACAAACGCAAATGAATTAATAATGCGCGTGAAAGCTTTTTCATGTATGTACTTAGAGAGTGGGCCTCAGTACACATACTCGATTTGTTCTACATGCAGACAATTTGCGGCTTGTACGCATATCAAACTCAATGAATTTTATTATGCTTTGCATTCTGTGAATGCATGCAAAATCGTTTTCAACAGTTCTTTGTCTATATAGCAACAGCAGTATAAAAAAAATAATAATTCAACGACAGACGCAGCCTACGTGCATAAGGCAATGAAACCTGAGATTCTTTAGAACAGTTGAATACCAAAACAAAAGCGAACATTTTTTTAAATATGCAACAAACAAAATGTATAACAAATGTGTGTATGTGTGTGTGAGTGAGTGTGTGCGTGTGTGTGTGTTTGTGTGGGTATGGGAAATGGAAACTTACTACTGGTAGCTGGTGACTGGGTGGCTAACCAGACGAGGGCAGTCTTTATCAGAGAGTGAGAGACAGAGACCCACACGTACTTATAAGGAAAGCAGTTGGAATATATACTTATTTATGGGTCGGTTATAAAATTGTTTTAGGTGTCTGCAGTTAGTGTGTGCTGGCATTAAATAACAATAATATAACAATAAAACAGCTCGAGCACGACTCCAGCCCCTAGGTAAAGAAACCAACAATGTAGCCAAAAAAGTACTAGCGGAGCCGAGGCGGTTGCACTGTACAGCCCTTTCATGAATTGTGTACGCTTGTTTAAAGTGAAACGTTTTTTTTTCTTTTTATTTTACATTTTTCGTGCCACTTTGACAGTTTATTGCAATGCTGTTACCTTACGTCTGTCATGGCACACGGGCCGGTAAGGAGAACAAACAATGATAAAGCCTGCCTGGTGAACTTTATTACGCATACGATGCGTGAGCCATGTGCGCCAAAAAAGTTGCTCAACAAACAAAAGGAAAAACCAATTTGGTCATATATTTGCATATATTGTCTTTAACACATTGCTAATGACGTCGCAAGTTTTAATTACATAAGTCTATGCCCTGAAAAATATATTCAATATTTATTTTTAATTTTTTATAATTAAAATATGTTTTTTTTTTTTGCGCTGCAAACTATCAGTGCCCTCTGAACTCTACTAAGCGAATGATATTTAAAATGATGTGGTATTTACAATGAAAGGAAAGGGGTATTTAAATAATTCGCTTCGTGGATAGGTCGCCGGGTTGTAGCCTTTGGAGGCGCCTCTTTCTGATGGGATCAACCAGGACCCCATCGCCGTCCGCGATGCTGCAGCCGCTTGTTGGCGTATCGGCTGCTCAAGAAGTTTATTTGATCCGCGACAGCCTAGAGTTATCTTATTCATTACATTTTTTTCACTTGAAGTACCTAAACGAAAATAAATACTGCTGCTACTATGGACTATGAATGCGACCCTCAGGATTCAGGAGCTATCCATTTTTTCCATTATTCAACAGAAAACTTTGAAACCGTTTTATCTGTTTCACTTGCAGCACACAAATTTCACCTGGCCATACAGCTCTCAAATACTGCAGCTTAATATATAGTATGTATGTGTGTGTAGATATATACGTATATATTTACGACCAAATAGAGTATCTTCTGTGCGCAAACACTTGACTGTTTCCTAATAGCAGGTTTATTTATATTTTGCATTCTGTTGGGACATTTCGTTCCCGTCTAAATAGATAGACTGTTGTAAAGCACCGACTGGCAAATTGCGAGCGGCTGTTAAAGTTTTGATTGCCTGTAAATAAACAGCTCGTTGTAGCCACAAAAAATGAAAGCCAAATGAAGCTTAAAGCGGCAACTTCTTGGGCAGCATTGGTGCAGGAACAGCGAATGCGAAGTGAGCGGAAATGAGTTTGCAGCTCGTGGCGAGCTTAGCACTTGAAAAATCACTTAATTCATTTAAATAAGCACCAAAATGTCACATCCAATGGCTTGGAAGTCCATTTGCCCCAAGAAGGATGTCAAACCGTACGTCCTACGTTCTTGCGCCTCTTCGGCTGCATGCCTGTGTAGAAGTTGGGAAACTAATTTAAAAATCCACTTTCTAAGCACTGCCAACTACACCTCCGTCTGCTTTGCCAGCTAGCCATAGACAAGAACTTGCCATCCTCTTTGGCTGGCTATTTATTTTTTCATTTCTTGCCTTTTTATGATGATTTTGCACTGCGCTTGTGCGTCGCAGCTCGGAGCATTGGGCAAAGCAAACATTTTAGCCTCAAGTGTTTAAATATAAAACGGAAATGAGCTTTGCCAGACGGTAGAGTGTGCTCCTAGCTGTCCCAACAGTGACTTCTAACGAATTATACTCCCAACTGGGATTATACCCGAAACGTGCCAAATGAACTGCACACGCTTACACTCGCACACACACCTACAGTCTTTGTGCCAGCTCTTACGCTGCATAAAATGCCCAGAAGAAAATGTCAATTAATGGCGGCAACTTTTTCATGTCACCCCTGAATTAATTGCACACCAAGGAAGTCATTTTAAATGATTTGCTCTGCTCACTTTAATAATTTGTCATTTAGTTTTGTCATTGTCAAAGTCATCTGCCATTCAATGCAATGTAAAAGCTGTCAAACGACAGACAGCGACACAAACAGCCAGACAGACAGACATACAAGCAATCGAATCAAATTCCTTTTTGGGGCGCTGCAAGCCACGCCCCTGGCGCATATGAGCATTCGTTGGCATTTAAATTGTTTTCCCGATGCGATAACAAAGCTGCATTTGCATTTTTGATTATTATGCAAAAGAAAAAAAAATATCAAGCAGTCGAATTGTTTATACCCTTACAAGCTAAATGATTGATTATTTAAATTATATAATTTTACCTGCCACAATATACGCGGGTAACTCATCTAAATCTACATCTCTCAGAAAACTATATAGATCTACATTTCTTTAAACCAAAAGACCGCAAATTCGGTAGCAAGATTACTGCAGATTTCCTTTACTCATCCAAAATATTGCGACTACGGCTTTAATAGTACCCAAGTATATCAAAACTTCATGTTTCACAAAGTCACAGTTTGAAAGTTTGAAAAACTACCTTGGTCTACATTCTTGGCATCAACAGCTGCCCGAGAAATTAACAAGAAGTTACTTTTGGACTTGTTTTTAGTTTTCACAGAGTTTTGCGCTGTCTGTTGCAACTACTTGCTAAGAACGACAAAAATTTCTAACAAGTTACATATATCTGGCAGACGTAGAGTAAATCAAATTAAATGAAATACAGAAAAAATTGTATTGCAATTTATGGATTTGATTTGTGTTGTTTTGTCATTTTGATTGGCATTCCGAATTGGCAACAACTCATCAATTTGGCAATGTGCTGCGCTCTCTGTGTTTTCTGTGCTCTGAGCTCTGTTCAATTTCAATTTCAATTTCATTTTCAATGCCACAGCCCAAAAACTATTTGCTGTCCAAGTTTTTGTTATTGCAGTTGTTGTAGTCAGAAAATGCATAAATATGTCAGAAATGAAAATAACAAATCCCCATTGAATACCTTATGCTTTTGTTCTTCGGCTTGTGCGGGTGTGCGTGAATAGGCAAGTTAATTGATAACATTTTACTGAGGTCCATTAAAATGGATTTGCTTTCGGTTTTAATTCATGCGTGTTGTTCGCAACGCTCTCAATTGCGATTAGGCCAATTGAAACCACAGTTTTAATTTATATTTCACTTGTTAAGTTTTTGCCAAAGGGCATGTCTGCTTTGGCAGCCATTCATGCGTTTATTTCGGCGTCATTCATTAGACGGCTTATGAGGCACTTTGGCGACACGCCTCAATGATCCTAACCAACTACATATGTGTGTGTGTGTGTGAGTGAAAAAGTGTATGTGAAAAGCTGTGAAATTTTCCCATGAATTTAAGCTACTACTTTCAGAGGATAAATGGACGCGAGGGCGTTATAATGGTCTTATGACATTTGTAACGCAATGAAAGTTTTGTATCAGAGATGATTTAACGAGATAGAATTACTTAAATTTAGTCACAATTAATTTAATATATCTGCGTGTCTAACACAAATGAGAACCGCAATTGTTTCTAAAATTTTGTAATTTATATTCTACACAAAATAACTTTTAGGGTCATAAGTTATTTAGAATTGAAAACGGTTTAGCCATTGCGTTGTGGCCACAACAAAATTTTCCTATGCCAAATAAAAAATAGAAAACTGGCAAATAAAATGTGAGAAATGTGAAAACTTAAATAAAAGTACACATCTGTAAAAAACGACACGAAACAGCATGAAAGGGAAACTTGCTGAAAATGTGAGCGGAGAGTGAGAAATGTGTGCGCAAAACTGAAAACAAATTTGCCCAAAGCGTTTTCACAGCCAATTTTTTATGCAAAGCCAAAGACAGCGTTTCACACACACATCCATCTCTCTTTCTCTATCTGTACATATGTGTGTGTAAGTGTTGTGTACATTTTCCTATTTGTTGTGCATGGTACATACATCCTTTTGTTGGACGGAAGCGAACTAGCCGCTCGCTTCGCATCAGCACATTTTACATTAACATATGTATATACATTTTGCATTCAAGTAGATAGGTCCGTGTGTGTGTGTGTGTGTGTGTGTGTGTGTGTGTGTGTGTATATATTGTGTGTGCATTTGGGCCAGCAATGAGCAAAAGTGTCATAAAACATTCAAGCACACGCACACACAAATGCACACACACACATACACACACACACGCACACACACTCATATTGCCACACACTTGAGTGCTGCAGCTGCCCTAACAATACGTTTTGCAAGGAAAGCGCCTCGACACCCCAGTCGGACGCGCACTAATGCAAGTAGCATGCAGCTCGTGTTGTTGGTGTTATTGTTGTAGGGAATTTTTGCACAAATTTACGCAAGTGAGAGCACAGTGAATGAAGCACAAATGATGGTAAACAGCTTTAAGAAGAGATGTGAAGGATGAAATTGTTGTGCCCCACACTTAAGTGGCATTTAGTCTAAATCTCAATCTGCTTTTCAGTCGAGTGATTTCGCCTTGTTAGTGACACACACTCACACACACACACACATTGATAAACAGCACTTGGCCAATTGTTGTTGGTGTTGTTAGTCATTTTCCATGGCAGTTAAGTTGGACTTTAGTGGCCATAATGGCAATATTTATGTCAAAAAATCTTTTAAAGGTCTGCACATTTTAAATATCCTGTTTAATGGTCACACACGACAGCTAAACACTTAACCAAAATATATGATCTATTTAACGAGTATACATGACATATGCATATTATTCCCAGAATAAATCACAATTCCTTGTGGCTGTTGAGTGTAGTGTATGCTTTCTACATATTAGAAGCAAGACATTATTGTATTTTATGTATCAACAAATCATGTTTTAATCTTAAGCTTCGTAACAAAAGTAATTCTAAAATTTCTGGTATGCCTAAAAGTATGCTTGTTTGTAAATTAAAGAAATTGCAATTATTTTCAAGAATTATATAAACATTTACTTGTCATGTTCTGTTAGTCGAGAAAAGTTATAATAAAATAACCTCAGCGTGTCTGTTAGAAATTCTTATATTCTGATTCTGTGAGGGACACACTGAGTTTGTCAACCATCAAAAGATAATAAATAAATAATTACAGAAAATATATTAAAAGTGACAACGCAAGACTACGATACAATAACACTCTAACAAATTGGGAACCAAGGCTATCGTATTACTCATTTTGAATAATTATATATTGAAAAATTAAACTTGGACTCAAGTCTCCGTTCATGTACAAGCATATTCATGTTAACCAGCTATAAGCCATTGAAGCTTTAATAAATTAGAAAATATTAAGGCGCATATTTTGGGAGACACGTTTTGACCAAAGTCATTAGCTGTCCAAATGGAAATTAGCTGCCACAAATAATTTTGATGTCCCAAAGTTCTGCCCAAAAATAACTATATATATGTTCAATGTTGTCATTGTTAAGCCGAAATTCAAAGGCGTGTCGAGGCGCACAAGCCTTAACAGATTTAGATTATAGTAATGAAAGCTAAATAAGTTATTACACAAAAATGATTCCCATTTGACTTATTTTATGTTCATTTATATATAATGAGCACATGCATGGGATTATTACGCCATACATATATGCATATGTCAACGCTTATGTCAAAGTATTTAAATTGCGCCCCAGAGCGAACTTTGAAGACCTTTTGACCTTTGTGCTTAAATGGCTCCTAGATGCTTTCCTGATAATTATATAAGCCAGATTACATATCGTACATGTTCCAATATAATCTCAACAAAATTTTGTGCGTGCGCATATTATCAAAGCATTTGGTGCTGAACGGGAAAAGGAATCGTTAAAATATTTAACATTATATAATTATTGATTTTTGCTCAATATTCAATAGTGAATGCTCAGCGAACTTGAATTGAAAAAGTTTTTGGGAGCAAAGAGACAAAATATATTTGTATGTGTGTATGTATAACAATGTTAAAGCTAATTTGCATGGCCAACGGATACGGAGTGGAGAATCAGGCTATGCATACAAATTAACAAAGGAAATGCAATTTGTCATACTTTGCACTTTGACGTTTCATTTTGGTAGCTGGTGAAAAGAAGGAAAAGATTATCTGACAAGTTGTTGGCCTGTGAAAAATGCTGCCAAGCTTAAGAATGACAGCGCATGAAATGAGAGAATTGGGCAGGATGCAAAGGGAAAACAATTCAAAAGTGCAACCGCAATGCGCCTTGAAAGGCAAATTAATCAATCCATACACGTAGGCAGCCCAAAGGGTGAAGCACACGCAATTTTATTGTACAAAATCCAATACTCTCGTTCTCATTTATTTATCTTGGCAAAATTTTACAATTAACGCAAACTATGCAGTTTAATGAAACTGCACACTTGCAGAACAAATTTACTAATAACAATTTAAAACTATATAGTGCAGCTTACTTAGCAAATGAACAGGTGATTTGTGTTTTGAGAATGGTTGGCAAACAAGTTATTGAAAACTGAACTATTTGCGGCAATTAAAATTTGATTACAGTTTTACTCTGCTCGCTGGCGAGTAATTGTGAAAAATTTCAACTATTATTGCTATTGATTTTAAGTGCACCATCTGTAGTAACTGTGCTCTTTATTACTTTATAGCGCCAAGGTGGCATTAAGTCATATTGCGTATACGACAGCTGCAGCGTATGAAGCTCTTCTTCACCTCATCTCTCTCTCCTTCTTCGTTTGCAGCATATTTCTGAAAAACTGACAATCTGACAACAGAGAAAAAAAAAGAAAAATAAAACAGCTAATACCGACACGTTCAAGCCCAAGCTTTTAGGCAGTCGTGTAAACAGTCGTGCAAACATTTTGCTGATGAATGTGCCGCTGGCTTAGTGAGTGCCAAGGATGCCAATGAAAGTGTAGCTCAAAGTGATTCATGCCACATATTGTTGCATGTAAACACAAACAACAGACAGTAGTGGCAACTCAAAGACTCTGTTTGCATAGGACACCAAGGCACAAAGGCTAACCATTTCCATGTTCTGAATGGAGACGACGCGTGGACGCCAACGGGCCACGGCAACCAGACGGAGCTATCGGGGCATTCGCATTGGCCAGTGTTTGCTAACATCAGCCAAAACAACAACATGGCCATAATAAGGCAACAGCAACGAACTAAATGTAATTCATGGTTACAAATACCCAACAACCTGCTGCTACTGGTAAGTGCGCGTGATTCGAAAATATTAATGTATTTAATTATGTTGCATTGATTTCCCGAATTACAACTCACTTGAGATAAGCTCTGTGCATCACTTAAACACCCCTTACTCATTAAAGATGTTTAAAGAAGGTCATGAATATGTGTGTCTCAGACCCAAGGAGGCATATCCGATCCTATCTATCCTTGGTATATAAATGTGAACCAGAACTTGAGCTGAGTCGGTCTAGCTTTGTTCGTCTGCCTGTCCGTCTTCGTGAACGATCCACATAACTGAAAAATTAGACAAGAATATATACATTTTTAAATAAATGTTTTAAAAGACAAAGAAACCTATTAAGGCATGCAAGCTATCCCCTAGTCGCACACTCTAGACTAGAACACTTTAATTTCTTTCTATCTTTGATTCACAATTAAAACTATTTTTACCACTCATTCATCATAAAAAATGTAAGCGTGTGTGTGCAATTAGTCAATGTTGGCGTGTTGAAAATATTGTTGGTAACATTTCCTGTTTATATTTCCGCTGCCCTTTTCCGCTGTTAATAAAAGCACGCACATCCTGTGCACTGCACAGTTAGAGGCCTTCGGTACCACAGGGACACAGCCAGCTTGTATTAGGCAATTCACACATGTCAACAGCAAATAGGAAAAGCACATGTAACTGGAATGTGGCACGTGTGGCAGCTGCAGCGACTCAGTTGCACATGGCTGCAGTTGTCGTCGACTCTTGCTCTGCGTGTTGCAATCAACATTGACATGATGATATGTGCCATAGACATTGATTATATTGTAACTGTCAAGTTTACACAGCTCTAAAGCCGCGTGTTGTGCGGAATGCGAATTGCAGTTACTGTTAGGCGAATGTGTGGCAATAAATTCTAAGAATAAATCTACATGCCACTTGTGACAGTGGCAGCGAGTGCGTCGCTTTTATGAGCTAAGTGCGACTCGTAAAAGTTACGTATACGCCACCGAAATGTGCCACCACACGTTGCACGACTGCTCGTAAAAAGATCATTAAACAGCAGAGATGAACGGCACACTAGTTGCCCAGGATTTCAGGACTCTGTTAATGGACGAACTATTTAGCTAAGCCTTTAAGCTACGCTTAATGACTTTAAGCAAGTCTTAGCCTTTGTTTCAATTTGACACATAGGATTTAATTTGCCATTTCTAACTGTTGGATTATTATAATAATAATGCATTCCCATGGAAAATGGCCTGAATTGCCGACTAAATACATTGCGGATTAAATTCAAGTGCAGTTTTGGCTTTTGGTAAAAACCACTTGGGTGCCACAAAACTGTAAACGCTCAAGGACTTTTCACTGCAATTTACCCATTCACGAAAGCCAAAAAATAATGCTCTGTGTAATGCTAAAGCTCAACTTGAAGTCAAGCAAAATTTGTATTTTACGAGTAGTTATTGCGTCGGTTTTATTTTGGTTATGTGCGCAATACGCGAGCAATTATCAGCTTTAAATTAAAAGTTCCTATGGGTTTTTAACATTGAAATGCGGTGACCGCAAACTTTTGGCTCTATCTCTGTATATTTTGTGGCATTTTGTGATGCTATGTGGCGTTCAATGGTTCCATGTAAAATTGTTGCACATTTTGCACCTAATTCTACGGTGAATTTTTTGGCTAACTTTGAAGTAGAAAAAATACGTTGCTTGTTTAATTTAAAGCCAAGGCTTAAATCCGATAGCTACTTCAAGGCTGGGAATTGCAAATTCATTTCAATTTACGCATAGTCTTTAGTCTAAGTACTTGCATTTGTTCGCTCTGAAAACTATAATTTGCCAGCAGGTCACCAATTAAAGCGAGAAACTTTCTTTTACAGTACATTCTGTGTTTCTACAGAATTCTTGTTTCTTAGTTAGGTAGCCGACGGCAGTTTACCCTCGACTCACTGAGAACCTAATTGGGCCATTGCAGTGACCAGCGGATCCACCTACCATTCTCCTCAGGGCCCAAAAGATTAAGAAACAAGCGCAAAGCTCCAACCCGAGGCATGGGTAAATCTGATATGCGTTTGGGTCTTTGCACAAAGAGATATGATAGTTCCGACAGGATTTTTCAAGTTAACAGCTTGCTACAACTCCTTTGGCGCTTGACAAAGCGTGTAAGAGGCGGATGCTTTAAAAATAAAATAAATTGGAATATAAATTAAACTTTTGCACAACAATATGCTGCCAAGTAAAGTAACTGAATAGTATACAATTTACAGCATTAATTTGTAATAAAGTAATTTTATGCAAAATCTGTACGCACTGAGCTTCCAGTGCTTGCAGTTGGATTTATTATCGTAATTAACAATATATTTTGATGACCGCAATCTAATATGCTTTGATAATTTAAACTCAATAATTTATGTCTGATTTTATTCAATCAAATAGCCTTTCTATGTATTGAATCAAGATTATTTACAGTTGAATATATTTTCATTTACATAGATTTCCTTTCATTGAAATTTTACGCGTCGGCTCTCAATTAAATGGCCATTTCGAAATCCAGACAACTTTTTTATGCCACTGTAATTAAATTGAGCACATGGGCCCTGAAATTTACCGTTGCCCTGCCAAGCCCGAGCGCGTCATGCCGTCGGATGTAAATCCTTCGTCAACTGGGCGAATGCGTTACGAAAAAGAAAAAGTTGCGTATGCGTCGTGTGGGCCGGGGGAAATGCTTCTTTTTTGGATTTATAGGCGCTGTTCATTTTAAATGTCAATTATTTATCATGCAAAAGAATTTAATGTTAGCAAATTTCAACTTGTAACTCAATTTGTTCATTTTTCATTATTAGCTGCCATAAAGCCACTTTTACCACGCGAATTTTGTACGAGAATGAAATGACAAATATTGCACTAGGAGGGAAAACTCATGTATGTGCTTTTAATTTTCAACGCTTCACAAAATTCGCTTTGGCGCATGCCATACCTTCCCCCCAAGCCCGGCGCCATGCAACATTTTTGGCAGCCTTGGCCAGAAAGGCTTCCTCTTCTGGCTTGTTTACTGCATATATTGTTTGTCATGTGTGTAATTTTTGCTGCCTTCCAACCGCCCTGAAAGCCACTGATTGCTTTTATTGTGAGCCCACAACAGCCCCGTTCTTTAATACACTTTGTTCTGCAACGATACCCGAGTAACAAGTAGTGATAAATTTCTGCTACCTCTTGCACGGAACTTTAATATTTTATTATTTTATATTATTTTTTTATTATTTTAATATTTTCTTTATAACGATATATCATTTTATGCGCTGCTTCACGACTGATGTCTAAAGCATACTCAGAAATTATGGCGAAATGTATAAATGCCGCTTACGGGGTAAAGTTTTGTGTTACCATTTTGCCCAATTAGCACAGTACCCATTAGTAGAAATTCAACTTGACTGTTTTGAGTGAAGTATTTGTGCAAAAGATTTTCTGATTAGGGATACCCGCTCTGAATATACCCTAATATTAGTTCAATATGTTTCATTTAAAATTATTATTATTACAGTCTTTATTAGACTTCGGCTAAAACACTAAAGCTACATTCATACACTCACCTGAAGTCGAGGCCAACTTATCGAATTTTTTAAAAAAGTTTTGATTTGGTGCTGAGGAAGCACCGAAATGTTGTATTGAATTCTTATCATTTATTCTACGATATCTCTAGCTTTTTAAGACCTTGAAATTGAGCGTTCAATGAATCCGATTTGGCTGTTGATGTTTATCAGGAACATATTAGAATTTTTATGCTTGTTAGATACTCAAAACTTTATTAGGCATTAATCAATTTATTGGGCAAGCAACAAGACAACTTTTCTATAATTAAAACTTGAAGCCAATTCATAGGCCATATTTTGAATAGCTAATTTCGACCAACGTCAGCTTTTTCCTTGACAATGACTCAAACCCAATCGATTGCTGTGGGAAATGACTTTGTGACATTCAATATTGAACAGCAGTAAGAAAGTAATTACATTTACAAGTGCACAATTGGCGACCCTTCAAGGTCTACAATAACAACAGCAATTGTTAACTGCTTTGATTCCTAGTGAATCTTTGTATGTAAACAAAGCATTTGGCAAGCCATGAAGGTGTAGCAGCTGTGCTCTATCGCATCAAAATGCGAGTCTATTAAAAATTGAAGCAGCTCTGATGCGAGTACTTAAGTTAAATAATATTTAATCGATTTATTGCGTGTTTTGAATATTTGAAGCCTAGTAATTAAGTCACCCAAGCCCAATATGAGGTGATGTTTTTTCTTGCCTTTTTGCTGCTCAAGCATTAAAGTCGAAAATAATTTCAACGGCTGCTTGCCACAAATATTGATTAGTGGCCAAATTGAGCGCAAATATTGAGTGTGTGTATTATGAATTTGCGCTGTATTTATAGCATGTTTGATGAGCCGATAGCACTCGCTATGGCAATCCGAGATTGCATTCGAGTTCATTCATAAAATCAGTATGACGAGTGCTAGGTACATTTGATAAACATGGCTAAAACGATGACAATTAATGGCCACAATTAAATTGCAATGTGCACGCCAATAGAATGGCGAGTGCTAAACTCGCCGACCCCTTCCCATCTCCCTGCACAACACCCTCTCTGTGGTCACCTCTGACTGTGCCATTGTTACAGTACTGAAATGTCATCGCTTCCGTTTCCGCAAGCACTTAACCTGCAATTATTTGTAAATCCCAGTTGAGTGGCATTTTGGTCTAGCTTGTGGCTTATGGCCAAGCAATTTCATAGCTGGTAAGTCTTTTCGTTAGCCATGTTAACCAGGTTTTGCCAGTCAGCGTCCGAGCGGCATTTCCCCGCTGGGCATTCATTTAAGTTTTCAAAAGGTATATTACAAAATTCTCCGACCCACATAACAAACACCTATTTGTTTTGGCCATTATTCTGCTGGCCTTGCTTCTAGCACTTGAGTTTTTCATCTGGTATCTACGTATTTTCATAAATTAATTAATTAAGCATGCCGACCACGCACCGCCTGTGTGGCCTAAAGCATAGAGCTAATTATGCATTGAATGGGCTTTTAGTAATGCTCGCTGTTTCTTATTAAATTGGCTTGCAGGTGGTGAACACAAATATACACCCATCACAAAAGTACCGCCATGAATGAGACAGAGTGTGAGGATCTCATTAAATCTGTGAAATGGACGGAACCGGCGAACCTGATCTCTCTGGCCATACTCGAGTTTATCAACGTACTGGTCATTGGCGGCAATTGTCTTGTAATTGCCGCCGTCTTCTGTTCAAACAAATTACGTAGTGTTACCAATTTTTTCATCGTTAACTTGGCCGTTGCCGATTTACTAGTGGGCCTGGCGGTGCTACCATTCTCGGCCACCTGGGAGGTGTTCAAGGTAATTGCAACGAGATATTTAATGAGAAGAAAAATACATAAAGAAAATAATTTATAATTGCAGGTTTGGATATTTGGTGACGTGTGGTGCCGCATTTGGCTGGCGGTGGATGTCTGGATGTGCACGGCATCGATACTGAATCTATGTGCCATATCTTTGGATCGCTACGTGGCAGTCACGCGACCCGTCACCTATCCAAGCATAATGTCAACGAAGAAGGCCAAGTCTTTAATCGCCGGCATTTGGGTACTCTCATTTGTTATATGCTTTCCGCCTTTAGTTGGCTGGAAAGATCAAAAGGTAAGCAGCCCACAACAGACTACACACCCAGACACACACACACGAACCCACCCACAATTACAATAAATTAAAGTGCAAAGTACTTCACTGAACTAAATTGAAGGCAGAAAAACTGTTTTTGGCATGCAACCGTCTCTCAGGCAACTACAAAAGAAACCGCAGTTAGACGCTTGGGCGACCCTTTGGACAGCCATGTTCTCAATAGGACCTGTCATTGACACCATTACAAGTTAAAGTTTTGGCCAAAACCGCTGCCCAGCAGCATGAAAATGTGGCAAACGTTGAAAGCCTGCTAAGCCTGCCATGTGGTTCATTTGTGTCAACATGCCCGTAAAAGCAGTAAAATTGCTTAAGTCAAATGTGTATGCTGGTAAATACCCTGTAACTAGAGCAATACCCTCTGCATACTTTATATATGAGCTTTTTTCTGTATCCCACAATCGTTATAGGCTCATAAGTCAGCTACAACATTATACATATCTCATAAATCCCTGGAGGCATTCATGTATATCCTTCCGCCTCTCGCTTCAGCTGCTCAGCCATACAACTCTCTTCCCAATTTTCATGACTGCAGGTATTCATATCAAGTGTAGCCTTTCTTGTCCTTTTTGCTAGCATTTTTGACTCGTTTTTGTGTTGTCGTTTTTGGCACACATGCATAAAGAGTCTTATGTAATGGCAATGATAATGATGTGCCACACATGTAGCAAAGGCAACACAGACAGAGCCAGCCAACAGACAGCATGGCATAATTCAAGTGTGTGCGCCTTGTACTCGGATAATCAGATCAGCAGCGATATGGCAACTAACTGGGCCAACGAATTACGACTTCCTGAAACACTTTATTGTCCACAGCATGTGTGGGTGTGTGTATGTGGGAGTGCTTGTTGTTATTGTCCAATGAGCCTTAGGCCAAGTTGGGTCGAATTTACTGGCCATATTGTTTCAACTTTGTAGTTAATGGGGAGATTCAGCTGACAAGTGGGAACTACCTACAAATATGTTTGGAGGCAATCTTGGTCTGTTTGTACGCTTAATCTTAATGGCAGTTGCCCATCGAAATGCTCCATTCAACTCGCAACAGTTGCCATCGGCCGCATTCACATAAACGTACAGTATCACATGAAAGCATCTTTTGAATGCATTCCTGTTTCTGTTTGCCATTGCATTACAGCCTCCCGGTTGCCTTACTCACTTAATGAGCATAATTGAAGCTCGATTTACAAGACCAGCGGCAGGTGGCATTGATTATTATTATCTTGCTGCCGTGTGCTATGTTGCGAGCAGCTCAGCCATTGAATGCGTCTCATCCCTTACTCTCTCATCGACTTTTCAGTTGGCTCCATTCAATTTCCACTCAGGTGTATATTTACCCCTGCCAATCCTGCAGATGGAAGAGCATATAATATATATATATATATATTTATATATGTATTCCGCTCAAATGTCGCCCTTGGCATCCGTAAGAGGCTTTAAACTGTTTGGGGCACATTTTATTAATACGCTTTCCACTTAAGGGTACCCTATATTTCTGATATGGCTAAAAGGGGTGTGATATACATACATTACAATACAGTTCGAATATAAATATATTTAAACAATCGAGGTCAGCTATGAATAGATATTTGATTAAATTTAAAACTATTCAGCAAGCATTAAAATCATTTAACAGAAATATACCTCGACGCAGGGTATCCCCAAGCCGACTAGACTTTCACTTGTTGAATATATATATATATAGTACATGTGTATATCCAGTTCCTGGCGCCCAAATGTATGCTACACCTTAGCATAATATTTATGCACAACACGTCCCGGCATATCTTTTGCAAAATAAACCGCTTTAAGTTGCATTTTTATTGGCTTATTGTGAGCAATGTGTGAGTCAGAAATTTTTGTGAGCGAGTCTAGAATTTCAATGGGTTAGCTGGATGACAAAGCTTTTAATATAACCCGTCAAATATCATATATACTAGCACTTCAAGGGGTTCGCCGTATGATACAGCTTTTAATAAAAACCCTCCAAAAACTATCTCTATGTATAAATATTCGTGTGCATTTCAGGCCATGGTACAACCGACCTACACACGGGGAAACTATACGCTTTACTATGCCACCACAATGTCAAGTACACAGGATGAGCAACTAGATGTAGGTAGAATTAAGAAAAAGCAGGAGGAGGCTGCTGCCTCACTGATTATTGAAAATGGCAATTTCAATGGCAATGTCAATGGCAATGCTTACAATCCATACGATCCCAACTTTGCGCCAATCGATGGCTCCGCTGAGATACATATTGCGGCCATGACGACGACAACAACAGCAACAGCAAGGACAACCACAACAGCAAAAAGCACAATTTCGCCTAGCACAGAAATGGATTATGATCTGTTAAATGCTCCGGCGGTGAACGTGCCACAGCCGGCAACAAGTTGCCCCTGGAAGTGTGAGCTAACCAATGATCGGGGCTATGTGCTCTACTCGGCACTGGGCTCCTTCTATATACCCATGTTTGTAATGCTCTTCTTCTACTGGCGCATCTATCGAGCCGCTGTACGCACCACGCGTGCCATTAATCAGGGCTTCAAAACTACAAAGGGTGAGTAATAAATATATCCTTTATATAGTAGTGTGAACATCAAGATCGGTAGCTAACATTTGGACACATTTTTTTAAATTCTCATTCACAAAATTTATGGCAACTTGTGCGTAGCTAAAAGTTTTGTCCCTTTAATATTTTCTAATAATTCTCACTCAATTCAATTTGATACTCTTAAACAGTAAATTATGTAACCCACGTAGCGGTTGTAGTTCGTACATTTAAATACTTACAATTTAATCCTCAATTTTCATATCGACTCTTAATTAATTTTCAAACTCTAAACGTGTAGAATTGTTGTGTGACGTCTTTGCCCCCGTTTTTTTGATTTAATAAAAAAACATCACAACAAAATGAACATAAAAGAGTCCGTCAAATATAACACACATATACACACATACACATTTTACAGAAGATCATCAGAGCCATTGTCAATAATAACCAGGCTAAACACATCCATGAATATCAGTTACCAGACCTGTTTCGAATTCCAATTTCGAATCAATGCAGTGCAGTCTATATAAAAACGACAATTATAATTTCCTTGGCATCAAAAATGTTGAATCGATTCGAAATCGGTATTCGAAACAGGACTATTATATAAGTTATCTTAGCATATTGAAAGTCAAGTATATAGAAGTTCATCTCTCTGTTTGTGCGTAAATGTCCCGTGTCTAACAATTGCAATTAGCAATTGCATAAATTACCAGACATTGTTTTACAAAAATGGCAAATATCCAAATTTACATTTATAAATAACCACACACATTTTTTTGTCGGCATTTTGTTTTTGTGTTCTGCACTCAATACATTATGAATAAACAAACAACGTTATAAATAACATAAATAAATAAACAAACATTTATAAATAGAGTTCTAAGTAAAAATGCAAGTGTAAATGGAAACGGCAAGTTTGTAATTTAATTAAGTCTACAGCAAAAAAAAAAAATTAATGAAAATGAAAACAATTAAAATAATTTAAATATTATCAATTTGTATACTAAATCCTTGTAACTAAAACCCTAACAAAAAATATTATAAACTGATAATGTGCATATTTGTAGCTTATACTTTAGTAATTATCTTAATTAGTATACCCATTTAAGTAATGCTCTAAAAATACTATACATGCAAAGTTCAAAATAACCCCGAAACCGAAAATTGTCAATAACACTCCTCAGAACATTTGAAAGCCCCCCTTTATGTAGAGCTTTCCCTTTAAATTAAGTTAAGTTTTCCGTCACATACACGAATGAAAATGAATACACATTTGATACTCTTAAATTCAGTTCTATCCTAGAATTAAGACACTTTTATATAAGTGAAGTCTTCGTTTTTGTCTCCATATCTCGCTTACGATCCCTGCAATAATTGGCATTGTTTCGCATCTACGAACATGAAAGAACACATCAAACAAATCGGCTTAGGCCAAAAGCAGCATAAATGAAATGAAATGAAAAAACTTCAGCCATTAGGGAAGGAAGAGTACAAAATTCCGCATGATAGAAATGAGTTTGGGCTCTAGCATTTTGCTGCTGCTGTGTGAATTTATATATTTTTTGTTTTGCCATTTTCTGGTACTTTTATTTGAAGTAAGTATTCCTTGAAATTGCTATAAAATACCCGTCCAACAGCTGGTATACACTTGTGTGTTTGTGTATTCTCAAATGTGGCTCATTAGTTGCGCAGTATTTTGCCAATCCTGCAGCGCACTTTCTTCCAGCTGATCAGCTCATTGGGCACAATTCTAGTTGGGTTTTTAATCTCGTCGACTTGGGCTCGACTTGGGGTCTACCTGGAAAAGTGTTGCCAAGCCAAGCGCACGCATTGGCTTTAATCCGAGCCAAACAACAGGGCCAACTGGCTGACTTAATGGTTATATAATAAAAATCAATATGCCGGGTTTCGTGCGTTCAATGCTTCTGCTAATTGTGCACCCAGAGCAGCTACTCTGGTGCGAATCCCAAAATAAAAGCCCAGTCAAAAGTTCTTACAATTTGCCCAAAGCCTAATGACAGTTTAATGTCCGGAGTGTAACATACAATTTGAAATTTTTTTCTATTATAATAAAACTTGCTATAATTTCGCTGGGTTCAGCTAAGCTCAACAGCTATTAAAATTAATAGATATAACAGGGAAAACAAGTAAAAGTTTTTGTATATTTCGTGTCCATGAGTGGATTCTACACTTGTTTACCCTGGCGCTACTAAGCAAATTCATATTAAACTTACAGTACAACTGAAACACACACTTGATAGGGACATTCAGCACTAGCGTGTGCACAATTAATCAAGAAAGTACGAGGTCGATATACACACACCCTAGACTACAATTTAGTTATAAAAAACTGTTATGTATTATGACGATACTCTGTAACGCCCAAGCTTGCTGCATCGACAATATTATGCCCTACTTTCATCACCAACGTGGAATTTAAGTGATTGACGAGATTCGAAATGTCATTAACATTAAAGGCGTGGCTCTTGAATGTAGCTAATTATGACCTAAATACTTTTCTGCTGGCATATGATGACATCGTGCTGTTCTCATATGTCTAGTTTTAGGCTCTGTTGTTGTTGTGCTGGCTTGTTTAGCAGCTGGCGTGTGTCCTTAGTTGGCGTTGTTTTGAAGACAAAGCCCAGATTTTCAGAAACAGCCGCTTGCAGAACATCAGCCGACAGCCTTGGAACACACATAGGCACACACAAGCACACAATCACACACACACACACACACTCGTACACACTCATGCACTCATGCAGACACAATGGCGCTGAGGTTGTTATAGTTTTTGTCCGGGCCACTTGCCGTGCGTGTCTTCATTTCTTTCACTTGCCGCGTCGGTATTAGTTTTAACACACAACACGAAACGCAATAGTCTAAAAACATTTCGTGACACAATGCGGGGGCGTGTGTAACGCTGTTGTTGTTGTTGCTGCTGTAGTTGTTGTTGTTGTTTGGGTAGCTCGCCTATATGGCCCACTCGCCCTTTAGTGGCTTTTGAAGGTAATCAAGTTTCAAGTTCAAAAACTAGCTGAGGTTCATGGCGTTGCCTATTAAAATGTACGCAGTAGTAGCAGCAGCAATAGGAGAGTGTCAGGCGTGGCATTTGAGCCTGTTATTGTTGTTGCGCCAGTTGCACACAAACTGAGGGCTTTCAAAATTTCAATTTCAATGGGCCCTGGCCCTGGCCCCGTGTCAGCAGCAGGCGTGGCTACTTTCACGCCAGCCTGTCTCAGATTTCACCTCGACTTTCACTGGCATCAGATTCACTTGGCTTAGTTTCTCTAGAGTGCCGATTCAAAGGTCAATTTGCAACAAAAAAAAAAACAATGTCACAAAACCCACATCAATCTGACTAATTAAACATTTAAATGTGTTTACAACAATACATTTAAAGTAGATTGCAAATAACGGCAATTGACGAGTAATTAATTTTATAATTAATTGAAGCAGCTACAAAATCGATTACGCTTAAATGTGCGATGAAATGGTATTTTTATATACATATGTAAATCAATTATTTTTGTATTGTTTTTCTCTCTTTTTGTTTCTGTCATTCTTTTTGTGGGTGAATGTTGTCAGCGACACATTTGCATATTGCGTGGCATTTCCATTTCCATTTTCAATAATTTAGGCGGAAAAAAACATTTTTTGTTATTTGTTTGTTTGCAGAGCAGCCCACGCTTATACTTACATAAATATGTACATATATCCCACTCAATGCCTGCGGCCGTACGCAAGCCTTCCGCATCGAGGAATAAATATAAAATAGTTTTCATATTCACATTAATGGAAATATTTACCGTTGCAACGTTTTCCTCTTTCGAATTCTTTCAAATTTATTAAAAGCTTTAAAACGGATTTTCTTCTCTTTTGTTCGGCTCTTTTATGAAAAGCTTCTCCTCTGTATTTACATTTTTGCATATGTCGTATGGTTTCTTGTTTACTTTCAAGCAAATGAAATTTTTCCCATATTTTACTACTCTCAATTATTAATTTCATATGCCCTTGCCAATATTAATGCTCATGGCAGCTTTCTTACCATATTGAGTATTCGGATTTATGTAAAAAAAAAAAAATAAATTATATTCAATCCGAATTTCTATATCTTGATTTCTTGTGGGCAGATACAAAAGTTTTGAAATGTTGTTGTCAACAATATTGTGATTATTTTCTACCGACTGCATTAAATTATCAAATTGTGGTGATAGTAAGTCCGACTGACATTATTATACATAATTATATACTCATTTCTCTAACATAAATTAATGAAATTTTCCGTGTTAATTAAATCAGTTTTGTTTTGTATTATGTATGAATGTAATAAATAACCAAATGGCCATGAAAAAACCCAAATTTATCAGACCCAGCGCATATACCCTTAGGCCACAACACGTGCCGGCAAATACAAATACACATTGCTCTTTTATATAGATTTTCCAATACCCAATCAAATCGAATTAGATACGTTTGTACATATGTTGTCTATTCTGCTTCCTAATTATTCGAACACACTTTATTGAAGCATACTTTTTCGATCTCTTCAAAAATATAGAATAACCTAAATTTGTCTAGCATGCTCCGAAAAGTAGGCTCTACATATCTATAAAATTATATGAAAATTGGTATTCGGAAATGACAAATCGTTATACATTCATCAACTATATTATAATATATTGCAGTAGTGTGTATAATTTTATAATTAAAGATAAATTCTAAAATTTTTCTACAATTATCTATATGTTAAAGTACGTAGTTAGATACCCGTTTTATGCTAATGTGTGCTAGCCTTAATTACTACAATTTTGTTTGTCTCTAACCAATGAAAACACAAATAATCAAAAATCAATACCGATCCATACTGAAGCAAACAAAAATCACGCACACACAAGCTCATGTATGATACAAGCTAAATGTTTTCATGTCTTCACGACGACACCAAACACAAACAACCAAAACAACCTCATGTGATTGCATTCCATGTGAAATTTGTATTGAGTTCCATTTCGACATCCTGCCAAATTCCCACACTAACTTATTGCAGGCAGTCCGCGCGAATCGGGTGGCAACAATCGCGTGGATGATTCCCAGCTAATCTTGCGCATCCATCGCGGACGACCTTGCGGCACACCACAGCGAACGCCACTCTCCGTGCACTCCATGTCCTCGACGCTGAGCGTGAACAGCAATGGAGCACCTGGAGCTCCCCCTGGCACGGCAAGTGAAGATCAGCAGTCAGTGCCGGCTTCTCAGCTGGGCACGTCCAAGCGAGCCACTTCGATGCGCGTGAATCGTCAGCGCCACGAGAAGGTTGCCATCAAGGTGTCTTTTCCCTCCTCGGAGAACGTGTTGGAATCACCACGTTTAGGTACTACGCAGCAACAGCCACCAGCGCCCCACTATGCAGTGATCAGCAGCGGCACAAAAGGCGGCGCCAGCAATCTTTCCAACGGGCGACGCACCTCATTCAAGAGCAGCCTCTTCGATATTGGCGAAACCACGTTTAATTTGGACACAGCCAGTAGAGCAGCAGCTGATCTGGAGAGTGGCATTTCGACCGGCTCGACGTCGGCCAAGAAGCGCTCCGGCAAACGCAGTGTAAAGTTTCAAGTGAAGCGCTTTCGCATGGAGACAAAGGCAGCCAAGACGTTGGCCATTATTGTAGGCGGCTTCATAGTTTGCTGGTTGCCCTTCTTTACGATGTATCTGATACGCGCCTTCTGCGAGGACTGCATACAGCCGACAGTATTCTCGGTATTGTTCTGGCTGGGGTACTGCAACTCGGCAATCAATCCGGTGATCTATGCGCTCTTCTCGCACGAGTTTCGCATTGCCTTCAAGCGGATTGTCTGCCGATGCGTCTGCACTCGCAGCGGCTTCCGAGCCTCTGAGAATTTCCAAATGATTGCTGCACGGGCACTAATGGCACCCGCCACATTCCACAAAACCATTTCGGGCTGCTCCGATGATGGTGACGGCGTCGATTTTAGCTGACTAATCGGCAACTACGAGACGAGTCCGCTGCAGCGCACTGCCTCGCTGCCGCAAGAAGCCAGCACTAGGGATGGCGATGTGGATACCACGGGCAGCACCAGACGTATACGGCGCGGTGGCTTCTGCAAGGGTCGTGTACTCTAAGCACACCAAAGCAGCAGCCACAACTACAACTACTTACAAATACTTGACATAAGGCAATGCATTTCGCTTTTGTACTTTTGTAAACGCCGCCAGCCCAATTGACATTGACAGTATTCGCATTGAACAACGTTGTAACTTTATGGCAATAATTTTCACGTATTTAACTAGGCATAAGGCATACATATACTTACACTTATACCTGTAGTTGTAAGCTTAATTAATGTGACATAATGATAACCAACACACTTTCAGTTAAGTACTTAGAGATAACTATATTAAGCAGGCCCCATTTGTTCAATTTTGCCGCTGGCAAAGTGAATCAGTTCAGTTACATGAGTTACATGCTAGTAGTTAATGAATATATGTGTGTATGTGTGTATCGGCCAATAATTTGGTTAGGTCAACAGCATTTTCAATAAAAATGAAAGCAAACAAAGAGCAAAAAACGAGCGCCGACAAAATAAAAGGTAATTTGTAATAAGAGCAATTGGAAGACACAACAGTTCCGCAGGCACACAAAAACAAACACACAAAGGTAATAACAAACCCAACACTGGTCAACATAAACATAAACATCCACAAACACCTTCTGCCTAAGCCAAAATAAGAAAAGTATTCACAACATATGAAAGCAACAACAGACGAATTGATTCTGAGTAGTTTAACTTCATGATATGGTCGAGACAATATTAGACAATAGACAAGATTGCTTAAATCTGAACTCTGCCTAAAGCTCTTATCACAGATACAACTTATAAGTCTGAATTTACTAAGTTTAATTGAATGTCCTAAACACTCTACTTCTACAATCACACAACACCAACTTTTCAATATTCAGGTAGCATTCTGGGAATTTTCATTAGTGTCTGTGCATCTGTACATTTCCAGACCTCACCTCAGCTACAGTAATGTGGGCTATGCAATCAATTCGCATTGCGATTGTATTGAGTTATTTGTACATCAAACAGTCGAGGTGCTTGTATCCAATATCCATTAAAATGCCCGGATAGGTCAAGCCCAGTGCAAACGTGCAACAATATGACGGCGCCGCGGCTTGAGGCGTATCAGGCAACCATAAATAATTGAACAGCGTAACAATCAGCATGACATGGTATTATTGTGCTGATTATTCATTACATTCACGCGGCATGCAATGAAAATTTATACAGCTGTTAAACGTGCGTATGAGTAATAAATGCAAAACAGGCAACAGCTAGGCCCACGCAACATGAATGTTAGTGTGTGTACAAGTGTCTGTATGTGTGAGTGTGTGTGTGTGAAATTATGCAAATGTATGTGTGTTAATGAAATAAAGTTCGCTTTGAAGGCAGCTTAAGACGTACAGCAGGACAGTTTTGTTGCCAAGGAAGGCGCTGAGACAGGGGCCAGCATTGAGTGCTTGTCGCGTTTATGCTAAGACATTTGCATAATTACGCGTTTAATTTAGTAAAGTGCAGCCTGGCAGAGTGCCAAGACATGACACGGTTACGCCAAACAGTTTAGGCAATGGCAATGGCAACGCATTGAAATGCGTGCGTGGTGTGCAGGGGGTGTATGAGCAATATTCAATAAGACGGGAAACATTATGTGTATTGTGTGAAGCACCAAACTAATGTTAATTCAATTTCTCCCATTTGGCAGGCTCCAAGGGCATTGGCTCACGTTTTGAGGAGCAGCGTCTGACGCTGCGCATACATCGCGGACGTGGCTCCAACCAGCAGGACTCGATGCACAGCAATGGCAGCACACAGAGCACCACAACCACACTAGGAACGCCCTCGCCGGAGCGTCTGAGCAAATATGCGACGCGAAGACTGCATCATCAACACGACAAGATCAAGATATCTGTGTCATATCCATCTAGCGAGAATATCAACGAGCTGACGCAGCCGGAGCCGACTCATGAATCGCGGCGCACCTCCAGCAATGCCCTCTTCTCCGTACACTACAATGGCGCCCATGGACGCGAGTCCACAGAATCGCAACTGTATAGGCAGCAGCATCATGGCGGCAGCACGTGCTATTTACAGGTCAGCAAGGCGCTGCCTGAGCTGGCGCGACGCCAGAGCAACAGCAGCGAGGTTGGCGGCGTTGTGGGTCATCCGCGAGCCGCCAACAAAAAGATGGGCAGACGGAATATCAAGGCGCAGGTGAAGCGTTTTCGCATGGAGACGAAGGCGGCAAAGACATTGGCCATTATTGTGGGCATGTTCATCTTCTGCTGGTTTCCGTTCTTCACGATTTATATAATCAGACCCTTCTGTCAGGACTGCGTTGATCCGCTACTCTTTTCGGTGCTCTTCTGGCTGGGTTATTGCAACTCGGCGGTGAATCCTATGATATATGCGCTCTTCTCTAAGGACTTCCGCTTTGCATTCAAGCGGATCATATGCCGATGCTTCTGCTCCCGCCAGAGTGTTTCCTTGAAGAGCTCCCGGCGTGGCTCCGACATGTCTGCTGTACGCATTCAGGGGCGCACGCCCAGCATTACGCCCAGTGCAGCGGCACACAGCTTTGGCGATGAGAGCGAGCTACATCATTCCCATTCGGAGCTGGGCAACGAGTCCAGATGACGTTCATTTGGGCCCAGCTCAAGCTCGCAGAGCAGCTTGGGCGGGTTGCGTAAGACGAGCCTGAAGGTGCCCGTCTACGAGATTTGCCATCCGCTAGTCATGGAAACGCCCTCCTATTCCTATGTCGAGGCTCCCGGCGAGATCCCAACCTCAGCCAGCAATGGCGGGGCCAAGCGCACGCAATTGTAGCCGCGGGAGCTGCTGGCGCTGCGTAGCCTGGCGACCAACGAGAAGAATCCCCATTCAATGCCAGGGCAGCGACCGCGGCGCACGGTGCGCATCGAATACAGCGATGCGAGGGTCTAAGGAGACATACTATAGAAGTAGGCATTAGGCCAAGTTAAGAACAGTGCTGAACAAATGTAAGCTTCTAGTTAAAAGCTCACAGATAAAATACGATGAAACGTGTTTGGTTAAACCAAAACAAATTCTGCTTTTTCCATTTGAACAAGCAAATTAACTATAAATTGTAAATGTGCATAGAATAGTTTCAACTACTAATTACTCTTTGGCTTAAGCGTAATCCACATAAATCGATTTTAAATAGTTAGTCAAAAGACAGAGCAGTAAAGTATTTCATACTAGATCAAATTTGTGTCTATTTGTTATAAATGATGTCTACATATATACATATGCGTGAGTCTTTGAGAAGACCAAATTGCGATAGTTGCCGGGTAGAAAGATTATCGCCGGGAATAAAATTGAGAGTTGTACCTTTAAAATTCCATATAATATGCAAAAGTTAAATAATTACAGAAATCGCCATAACCAAATAGTTGCACAATGCGTATTAAATATAGTAATTCCATAAATGTTTATTGACATGTTAATGTTGTGTGCTGTTCAGATTTTAACATACTTTTCAAAATATATGTGTATAATCGCGACATATATGAATATACCATATGAAGAAAATACATATGATTCTCAAATATAATATTCCATACGATTCCAGTTAAATGTTCAGTGTGCTATAAATAAATGCTTACTTAATTTATTGAAAAACCAGCACGCGATTATATTTTTTTGCGCCTTTCAGATGCCAGAGTAAAAACCCGAGTGATGGGTTTCCTTTCAATTGGGCGTAATTCTTATGAGCACTCAGCGATTATGGACAAAGAGCTAGAAAAAGCATAATTAAAGAATGTTCTAGTCAAGATTGCCCGACTAGCTAATTACCTTAGAACAAGTGTCTTGAATGCTTGTACCTGTTATTTAATTATCCTTAATTTATATGATCCTGATGCTGGTGTGTAAAAACTCAAGGAAAGGTAAAAAATGCCAGTGCTTACAAAGACAAAAATGTGTTCGATTGGTTTATATTTTATTTTTTGCATAGTTCAGCACTCCCTTCATACCCATAATTAAATCCGCAGGGTACAGAAATTCCAAGGCTGAAGCATCAAAGGAGAAATTAAAAACTGCATCTGGTTGGGACATAATGAAAGCCCGGTTAGAGCAGCACATAAAGCTGGTCAGTCAAGCCTGCGGGGAACACACCTTTAATCTGGCAGCCTCCTTCAACTTTTTCTTCGAAACTGAGACAATAAATACTTTTAGGGCAATGAGATTGTGTTCTCGTATTGAAGCGTGCAACTAATTTATGCGGCGAGGGGTTATTTGCCGGAGCACCACTAACTAACTTTTGGGCGCCTATTCCGTTCGAGGAATCCAATTTATTTGACTTCATTTCGCTTTCACTTCTCGCTACAAAGTGTTTCATTTGATGGAACTCAATTGATAAAACGCATTAGCTCGGCGCTAAAGTTCCAGAGCTCCCCCGTTTAAGTACCTTCCATAAAAACGTGCACGCTGGGCAAGTGATTCGTGGAGCTACGGCAGCTACGGCAGATAACATCGATTGTTCATTTAAGTTCGACTCTCATATTATCCAGGCAGACAGCGGAAACCCATTGTTTATCATCGACACGGAACCACCCAAGCCACCCTGTCCATCCGCAACCGTTGAGTGCTGCTTAGTTTAGCAAGCTATACAAACTTCTTCGTAATGCCTAGCAATCAGACACTTATTTAGATTAAGTGCGTCTTAAATTTGCCGATTTAATTAATTAAATTGAGTTCTGTTTAATGAGCGCACAGTCATAGTTGTGTGACTAAAGTGTATACTTTCAAGCCCTATAGCCATCAATCTACTAAATTCATAGCATTATGCTAAAAAACTGCAAACTAACAGCTACATTTTAAGGTTTTAGGACTTGAGCTTTATTCTCAATATTTGCCGGGAAGGTAAAGCAGGCTGCATTTAAGCCACTTTACCTCCGCCTGTTTATTGTTTTACTGTTTCCCTTTAAAGCCCTTAAGAGTGATAGGTACATGAGAAAAAATTCGAAAAATAAACAAACATAAATGTACTACGAATGCACTCATTCAGCCGCCTGGCCGACTGGCCTAACTGGCCACGGCTTAGTCGTGACATCGCACGGAAGTTGTTTGCTTTGGTAGGTGCACAGAGGCGGACAAACAAACGGCAGGACAAGACAAGCAAAGGGTGCAGAGGTCACTCAAACAGTCCTTGCTATCGCACAATCGATAGAGCAAACAAATCTGCATACAAACCGGGAAAATGAAAGGTTATAGGAGCAGAGAGCGAGGGAGAAAGACGAAGAGTGGGAGTGTGTGCAGAAACAACAATTCTACCATTTCTACGACCACAATATGAACTTTTAAAGTTGACTTTTACCATGTAAATATTGTCGTTTCGACTGGGCGAACTACCACTAAGATCAACTGATGACATATGCCCCATATTCCATGGATTGCTGTAATTGATTTTCGTGCCAAGTCTAGATTGCAACTTTTTTTCCTGTTATTTTTTTTTTTTTTTTGTCGATGGCAGCAACCACTCTAAGGCAGAAACCTAAGCCAAAATCCTAGCTTTTAAAAGGAGTATTCCTTTTCGTTTTCCTCGGCTTATTCAAGAAGTCAGTTCGGCGTGCCAGACTATAAAGCCGATTGTGCAATGAAGCGAACAAAGAAATATATGTATGTACACTTTGCCAGTATGTACAGTGCACAACAATACACAATAATAACAACAATAATATCTTAAACGAACGTCTGGAACGAACAGAAGTTAGCTGCAGCTTAGCAAAAACTGTAGACAACTCTAAAACACGGAAAATTCAGTGAACTGTTCGCATACTTTTTGCAGTAAACGTGTTAAGCAAAAGTTCCAATGCAGCCGCAAAGTGAATCGAAGTGTTCGGGGGAACAATTGATGGGCGAATTGTATATTTTTTCACTAAATAATTGTCTCAAAAACTTATTGAGCCGTACGGCACGGTTTTAGAGCATTTGCTTTTAACTTTGTTTGTCTGGTTTATGCAAAAGTTTAGTATTGGACTTTAGTTTAGTTTGGTTTAGTATTGGCAAAGTTTTACTCGAAATCGCACGGCATTTATTTAACAGTGCTGCCTATTTACTGTCTAAAAATACACAAACAAGTAAAGTTTATGAACAAACTAGGTGATATTTCCAGGCCTTGCGCGGTCTTAGTTTTTTGCTTCATATTGAAGGCATCAATTTTAATTTCCCGCCCGTGGAAATATTCTATCTACCCGTACTATCTTGATGTCTAATGCGGTATCTCACGTCGAAAATGAGTTACCTTAAGAACCGAAAACTTGCACTCGTAGGTTTCCTGTTCAATTTATTCTCGTGTTAATAAACTTGAACTTCAGAAAAGAAACTCTCGTTAATTCAATTGTTGAGCCGCATTTTCCATCTAAGAGGAATAGATTTAGCGAAAAGTATGAAAAACTTTACAAATGAATTTTCACAGAAAAAGTTGCGGAATTCCCAACATCACGGAAATACGTTTTTATTAAATTTCTATCGGCCAGGACTAATAGTTGTATGTAGATATTAATTCAATATATTGGTTTTTATGCTGTTTTTAATTTCAAAGTGCAGCCGCGAGCATTTGAAAAATGCTATTATGAAAGACCAACACGAATTATCTGTAAGGATCGATTCAATATCTATATAATCTGATTTATAAACCATATTTTTAAGCTTCAGCACACTAACCTGGACTTAATACGTAGCTTTATTATATTATTCGGCTTAAGCATATGTGCTTAATAGCTATTTAAATGGATCCACACTTGGGCACAGTTGCTGCCGCGGTTATCCGCAATGATGGCCAACATGAGTTTCCATGTGTGGGACTCTACCTTCCCCCCACCCCTAGCCATCATGACTTCGTGCCCCCCTGCCTGACAAACACACAACACGCAAGCTGCTGACAATTTGCACAACGCGTTAATTTCCTTAATTTCAGTCTAATTGTTATGGTCGCCCGCGGTGCCATCAACAGAGCCAGTACCACAGCAGCAGAGCAGCAGCACACTCAGCCCAGTTAGTGGCAATTGGTTTTTGTTAAAATAAAAACGGGGATAAAAAAAAGCATTGCTAAGGCCCTCAAGGGAATCGTAAGTGGGCCGACAAACGTGGTTGGGATTGGCATGATTCTTGTTTAGCTATTTGACGGAAAAGGCCTGTATACCCGCATCGGGGACCCACGACTACATTTTCCGAACACATTTGAGGACCACTCTGCCCTTTCCATTTTACTTTAATTTTTATGCCTTGATGGCAACGAGTATTTTCGGGTGCGACCAATCCGCAAAAATGGCAAGCAATTGACTTTTATGGCAAAACAAAACACAGCAAAGTCAAGCGGATATACTTTAACCACACTCACCTCCACTCCACGCTATAGTCCACTCCACTTTAACCACACTCCACTTTCAAGTTTCCATCGCAGTCGCAGTCCATTTGACTTTTTTGGATTTTTCGCGCCACTTGCAGTTATGTGTTAAAATGTTTTTGGTCACATTTTGTCGAACGTTTTTGTTGTTGTTTGAATTGCTGTTTGTGGCTGCTGTCAACTGAATTATCATTTCTGGCAGACATTCAACTCAATTTAATAGCCGATTTGCTTGAATTCAATTTTGGTCAGTCAGGGGGAATCGGCG